AAATTAAAGTGTTTAGACTCTGTTCCCGGAGGGAGGGAGTCCAGAGTTCCTCAAATAGTAATCACCGCCACCCAAATCTGTTTTGTTGCAAGCGCGCTCCTCAATTGGTAATCTCCACCACCTCAAATAGTAATCACCCCAAAAAAGCATAAAATTAAATCGTTTATTTCTTAGAAATAAGACCATATTGACCTCTTTTAATGGCCCTATGGTGTACAATATTGTTAAAGCTTTCTTTATTGCTCCTTAGTTTCGAAAATAAATCAATAAATATGCCACACTAAGTGCTAGAAATATATTACGTTTTTTAGTTTCAAGTTTCGCTTTAAGAATGTTTGCGGCATTTTCCTCTGAATGTTGTTTTAAACTCCTTATATAGAGAGGAAACTTTAACCCATTATTAGTGGACTAAATACTTCATTTTCAGTAGTTGGTGTGATGAGACTAATTTTTCAAAATTTTATGTTCTTTCTATGCATATAATTAGTTTTGTTGTAGATGTTGAACTCGAGTTGGCGAATACAAAAATCTAAACACTGTAAAGGTTTTTTGAAAATATCTTTTAAATGGAGATTGATATTACTTTGGGCGCGATGAGATAATTTTTAGTAAATTTTAAGTCCTTTCTATGCATATAATTAGTTTTGTTGTAGATGTTGAACTCGAGTTGGCGAATACAAAAATCTAAACACTGTAAAGGTTTTTTGAAAATATCTTTTAAATGGAGATTGATATTACTTTGGGCGCGATGAGATAATTTTTAGTAAATTTTAAGTCCTTTCTATGCATATAATTAGTTTTGTTGTAGATGTTGAACTCGAGTTGGCGAATACAAAAATCTAAACACTGTAAAGGTTTTTTGAAAATATCTTTTAAATGGAGATTGATATTACTTTGGGCGCGATGAGATAATTTTTAGTAAACAGGCAGCCCGACCTTTTTTGTATCTTGACGCCAATCATGAAATGCAGTCATTAAAGTGGCGAATTGGATCTAAGATTCGGCTAAAATGAACTGTGCCTTGATTCTCAGTTTTTGTTGACCAAACAAATCTGAAAATAATTTGAAAATTTAGTTTAAGTCAATACAGATGCCATAAAACCCCGATAGATGTCGAAAATTGTGTTAAAAGTGCATTAAATTCAAATCACAGAAAACAAAATTTTACGGTGATTACTAATTGAGGAGCTCGCTTGCCGCAAAACAGATTTGGGTGGCGGTGATTACTATTTGAGGAACTCTGGACTCACTCCCTTGTTCCCGGAGAACAAAGAAAATGGGGCTAAAATTATTTGGTTTGGTGTCTCCGAGAGGGGATTTTAAGTTAAAGATGACATTACACGGAGGGACGGAGAGATCTTATAGTTAATGGTTGACAACCTTGTAGTTGTTTATCATGATTGTAAGAAAAAAGTTCTAGATGTTTTGAAAGCTCTATTTATTAATCTGACCATGTGAGAAACTGAAATATACTTTTTTTGTATAAATTTGTCCATGCGCGCAGAGCTACATAACCTAAAAATCAAGCCAATTTTTTTCTTTTGAATTTTTCTTCTTGGATGTTCATATAAAATTAATTCTTCATTGTAAATTTCAATTAACTGATAATTGGTCAAGTAACAAAAAGCAGCTATTTTTTTTACAATTGATAAATAAAAGAGATCTAATATTTTAGTAGTGGATGTCTAATCACATGCACACAGGCCCGTAACCAGGATTTTTCCAGGGGGGTGCAAAGAAGCGCACCGCAGGCCAAAATTTTTTTTTTTTTTTTATAAGCAATGCTTGGTTTGTTTTTACGGGGGTATATGGTTTTCTTTATTACATTGTCAATGTACGCTATAAAGACTAACCTTTTTAACAAGTGTATTTTAGCTTTTAAGGGTTTTAGCTTAAGGAAAAAATTCATTATTTAAAATCAAGGCTTCTTGTCCCTCGGCCTCATGATATTATGAAGATGAATAAAAAAAAATTTCTAATTTTTTTGTTTAAAAGAGTTTATTTATTGACATTGAGACATTGAGACATTCTTAGTGAATTTTTGAGTAATCAAAAAAACCCTTCTACTTTTGACTAAAAATGACAAACACACACACCCACTTTTAATGAGTAACACACAATAAGATTATAATTTGGTTTGGGAAGGGAATCAACTCTTGCTTGAGCTATATTATTGGTAACTAGATTTTAGAAAATTTTTAGAAACAATTTCTTTTATATGGGACTAGGGGGGTACAAATTCGTCATTGCACCCTTGCACCCCCCCCCCTGGTTACGGGCCTGCATGCACATAGTTATCTTATAGACCATGTGGACCATGTCTAAGCACATGCACATAGTTGTCTTACAGACCATGTGGACCCTGTCTAAGCACATGCAATTCCACGGAATTCAATTTTTTAAAAGTCTCTCTTATCGGGTTGCTAAGCGTATTAATTAAAAGAAACAGGAACTGTGATAGTACTGTTGAATAAGAGTTACTCACAAAGTATGAGAATGCAAAGACGACCCGATTATCAATGAAAGCGTCATACGGAAGGAGCTTGGTATAAAATTTTCAGACGTAGACAATTATTCATTTAAAATATTTTCATTTTTATGCTACATTGGTAACCTAAAAACTGTGAGATAAAATCATTTATATAGATCTTTATCTTTACTAGGAGAAGGGGTTTGTAATTTGTAATTTCTATAACTAATAATGAGTGTCTAAAAATTGTCAGGGTGGACTTTCTGCAACAATATTGATACAAGTAACCAAATCCTTTTTAGACCTTAATTTTGTACAGAAATAAATAAGACGACAATCATTGCACTGGTCACTAAACTAATGGATGTTTCCATGAAAATTTTATTAAAACCTTCACTCACAAACCCACCCCTGTTAAGGTTTTTAAAGATTCAGGGATACCAACAAAATATGCGACTTCAGAGACGACCTTACTCTTTTTCTTTGCAAAATTCCATATCATGACTTCAGTGCTAAGAGCAAAAGAGAATAAATTTAACCTTTTTAATGTTGTTAATAAAAATTCTATCTTTATGGGTGATCATCAACGAGGGTATAGTATTTAGAGTGATGATGTACGCTAATCCTTTACTAATTGTATAGGCCATTTACTTCGCTTCCAAATGTCAATCTGTATATTACGGTACTCGGGGGTGATTTCTGAAAATATTTAAATAGAGAATTGTTTTTCATGTAATTATTAAAATCCACTACTCCTTTATTGTGTGCAGGATTCCATTTTCACAGGAAGACAAACTATTAGTCTTTTACAGAGCAATATTTCATCGTTAATAAACTGTTCTGAGAAAACTGAGTAAAATTCAAGGTACACTTGTAATGAAATAATGAAATGTCAAAAAATTAAATTGGGATTTGAGGTGGGAGGGAGTGGGGGGGAGGGGGAAGGGGGGTTAATGACACGACAATTCAGGGTTTGTTGACATCAGTTCTATGGCCTATCAGTTCAGTGTCAATAATCTTAAAAGATAAAATAGTTTAGTTTTAAATTTGAGATTTTTATCATCAACTCCTTTGCTTTATTGCCTTCAAGAATTCCCCCTTTCAGCAAATGAAAAACAACAAAGTTTTAAATAACTATTGTAGACTTAAACTGAAGGTACCCTCCATTTTAAAGAGAGGCATATGTCTGATTCACAACAGTAACCTAAAAGCTTTGTCTTATAAGTATAATTTTCAAAAGGTTAAAGGATGCATGAAATGTAAACCGGGCATGGAGGCTTGGGGTGTGGGGGTTACTTAACAATACATCGGCACTAAATTGTATTATTTTTAAATTGTTACATTTCAAGAAAATATATATAAATTTAATTTCCCTGACTACAAGAAAATATATACAAATTTAATTTCCCTGACTACAAGAAAATATACACAAATTTAATTTCCCTGACTACAAGATATACAATTTAATTTCCCTGACTGCAAGAAAATATATACAATTTAATTTCCCTGACTACAAGAAAATATATACAAATTTAATTTCCCTGACTACAAGAAAATATACACAAATTTAATTTCCCTGACTACAAGAAAATATATACAATTTAATTTCCCTGACTGCAAGAAAATATATACAATTTAATTTCCCTGACTACAAGAAAATATATACAATTTAATTTCCCTGACTACAAGAAAATATATACAAATTTAATTTCTCCAACTACAAGAAAATATATACAAATTTAATTTCCCTAACTACAAGAAAATATATAAAATTTAATTTCCCTGACTACAAGAAAATATATACAATTTAATTTCCCTAATTACAAGAAAATATATATACAAATTTAATTTCCTTAACTACATAAAAATATAACTACAAAAAAATTGAATCCATTTATGTAAAAAGACCAAAATTTTAAGAAAAAGTTGAATCCAGAGTCAACCCCGGGCCCCTTGAAATTCTCAGTATTCCAAGATAATATAAAAAGTTGTATACAATTTACTATTAATACTTTTGTTTATATAAACTGGCTGCGGACTTGATTGGCTAGTTATTCAGTATGCGTACTTATATCCCGACCTAGATATGCGTACTCTGCTAAATTTGGGGATTTCTTTTATATTTTGCGTACTTCAAAACTATTAAATACTTACGCAGCTTGATCGAAGCGTATAAAAAAAGACAATGAATACAGTTAGAGTTTCTGCAGGGTGACCGAATAATTAGGAAAATTAAGTGATCGACATTGATCTACACGGGATTTCACTTTTAACCATCCTAGAGATATGACGTCGAAAAATATCTAATTTCATCGTAAATTTTTAAGGTACCAAAAAACATAGATTTCTATGCTTTCATATCTAATTCCTATAAATAATTGTGACAAACTGAACACTGTACATTGTACAGTACAATAAGGTGAATAAAGGGTTCAAATAAGATTGAATGTTTAAAATAAAGAATCCAGAGGGATTTGAAAAAGTAGAATACAATAATAATAAAAAAATATAGCAGTGACAAAAGATAAAATTAAAAAAAATAACAAATTTTATTGATATTGTTTAAAGGATCACAAGAAAGGTTTGCGGGCTAATACCGTTCGTTCGTTTTTACTATTGCTAAACAGCCAAACCGTTCGTATTGACACTTCCTCTATACCAGCAGTTATCAACAACCTTTTAACAGCCTCCACCTTCCTGAGGATCCCTTCCTCCCCCACCCTCCTCCCCAGCTTGAGGGTGATGACGAGGATACCCCCCGGGAGGAGGTCGGAGGTCAGGGGGAGGACGAGGTCACGAACTGAGTCTCGGACATCCAGGTTAGCATCACAGATCAATAATCTTAACATAGGGATGATGTTAAAAGTGCAAACAAGAGTATTATTCTAAAAACCGCTCATATTTTCCTATTTACCGGCCTTTGAACCTCCCCCCCCCTCCACAATTACAAATGTACACCTGCAGGCTTCAGAATATTTCGACCACCAATAAGAGTTTCTTGAGGTTATTTCAGATTCTACAAAAAATATCGGGCCCGCTGGTTTCAGCCGTTTTGACTTGTATTGAATAGAAATTAAGAACCAAATAAACAAATAGAAACATAATAAAGGTTAAAAGCAGTTAATAAGCTATCAATCTGATTTAATGTTTGTATTATAAACATTAAAAAAAAAATTAAGCTTGAGCTCCTTTAGAGAAATCTAACAAAATTGATATATATAATATATACAGGGTGTCTCAAAAAAAACTGTGCAGTAGGGGTATTGGTAACTGATATATATAATATATACAATATAATATATAATATATGTATATATATCACATTTATATCAAAAATGTCTTTTTTTGCCCTCAAAATGATGGGGGGTAAATAATATTTTATCACATATTTTATCATTTTAAGGTTTGAACCACAAAGCTCCCCCCCCCCCCAATATATGTAACGTGAAAAATCAAACAAGGGATTACATAATTTTTTTAATGTGAAAATTAGAAACCCCAAAACTAGACTATCCGTCGTAAACATGCAAAACAACAAAAGGTAATAATCTATATTTTCATATTTGATCAATTTTAGAATTTGAAATGAGAATTGAAGTAAGTTTGATTGACAGCATTTTGAAATTATTCATGGCCAGTTTTTAAGCATTGAGTCAAGCGTGTGAAAACACGATTTCTAAAGACCTAAAATAAATCTGTTAATAGCAAGCTAACAACTATATACACGGGGCACTCAACGTGCGCTTTCATATTTCTTATTAAAGACACATATGCTTATCTTTCCATTTATAATCTCACATGTAAACAAACTACAGATTGATACAAGGAAACAAGGAACGGGCTTAATAAAAGGGGTTTGATATTGTTCCAGGCCCGTAACTAAAAGTTTTTAAAAGTGGGGGGGGGGGGGCACACAGGATAAACAGCCCTCTTGTACACCTTACGGGGGAAAATAAAGTGTTCGCAGGTTTTAAATCAAAGAAATTAGTGTTATCGCTTATTTATGAAATGTTCAAAATAATTCAAAATTTTAGTTAAATTCTCGAAGACGACATTCAACCCAATTAATGTAGTCAAAATCAGTAAAAAGCGAACTGAAAGTCGTCTTTATAAAATCGCTTAGTTAGAATGTAGCTAAAGCTTTCATGTAGCTATTAGCTAAAGCTTTCATTTGGTCGTGGTTATGACTCAGAACATGTTTAGAAATCGAAACTTTTGAACTCGATATCCAATGTGGGCACTTATGAATTAGAGAATCAGTGCTTGATCTCTTGATTCTTTTTATCCCTGCTGGGTATGACCAACACGGGATATCGAAGAGGATTTATATTAATCCGTAGTTCTTGATAAGATGGAGATCAATGCTTGATTCTAAGATTCATCGCACAAAAGCTCTCACTTCAGGGCATATGTAAAGAGTTACTGCAGTTAGAAATTTCAAATTCCAAAGCTACGTTTCAAATTCAACTCTAAACAGGCTAGTGTTTTTGCCCTAATACTCACATTTTCGACACTATCGCCGTGAAATTGTTCGACTTAATTATTAAAGAGACTTTTAAAGGCTTTTTTAATGCATAGGGTAGGGTACAGGGCGGTAAAAAGTCGGGTCCGTGTAAAAAAATCTAAAAAAGCCTTTGTGACTTTTTTGTGACTTAAGAACAGATCTAAAAACTTGATTTTTGAAAATTTTGCCTCGTAAAATCAACTAAATATATACCTGTATTTTCGTGTCCAGTTTTCTCCGCAAAGCTGAGCGGCGGAGACTTGAAGTGGAGTCGGACATCCGCCAACAACATCTTCCGCCTTTAGTTTAAGATGCCGGAGGTTTGGTAGATTTAGTAGATTTGGCTCCAATTCCGCTGGATCCACAGAGATAACAGACACCTACGATAAAGGGATGTTTAGACAATACAAATAATATCTGTGCCGTCAAAGAATCGAGCCAAGTTAGATAAATGAAATATTGAATTATAGTAAATCGAAAAAAATAGTTTCAATTGAATCGAAGTTTTCGAGTTTTATGTCCTTAAAAATGTTCACCTTTATTACGCGCATTTTCAGATATTCCTGGTGTAGAATGCCGCAAATAATTCCGAGGTTATAGACCTTTAATCTTTTTTGTTAATTATAGTGAAAACCATGGATTTTTACCGGGTGGTTCCATGGGGAAAATTATAGGCAGAGGTATGGCAAATATTTTGCTATTTCATATCGCGAAGGTTGGCCATTACGGTGGCAGAAGAGTTTTAAGTTTTACCTAAATAAGTTTGACATTATTCTCATGTCTCGTAAAGTTTTTAACATGATTTAATAATTTTTTATGCCATAACGTGGCCAGATTTGTTAAAATAGTTTATCTACAAGAATTAGAAACTTTTAAACACTAATAATCGAAGGACGAGGATTTCTAGATGGCCGGTTCGGACGAGAAAATGAGGAGAATGTGGCTCGGACGAGAAATTGTTGTGGCTGGCCTTCCTCCCCTCGATGAGCAAAGATCTTTGCTCGTAATGTTTCAACAAGAAAACACACTACTTCTAATACCGTAATCAAATCATCTGATCTACATTTCGTATTTCATATTAGAATTGGGTTATTCACAGCGTAATTACAAGATATGAGCGGTTATTATCTATAACGCATTAAATATTTAAAAAAATTTGTGTTTGGCAAGAACTCAATTACTTTACCAATAAAAAATAAAAAGTAAGGGGTGCATGGCTATATGGCTTTATTAAACCACCTAAGGCCAGGAGCTGGGATTTTAAAGTTTTGACCATTGATGGAAGTCTTCAGAAGCTACTCTTTTACAACACTAGAAGCTCCACTACCTGTGACAGAGCAGCTAGATATGCTGACCAGCCACCAGGAGCAGCTCCTACATCTACCACGAGAAGCTCTTCATCAAATAAAAACTTTTTCTCTGTTTCACTCAACAACTGAAAAAGATGGAGATAAAGAATGATTTCAACTGAACAAATTTTCAGATAAAAATTCTTTCACTCTTAAGTAAAAAGTATCTTAACTACATCATAGCAAAATAAAATCGAAGAAATTTTTAATTGGGGGGGGGGGGGGGGGGATTCCACCATGATAAACCAGGACACCCCCCACTAAAAATAAAATATGGTGCACAACCAGAGATAGGGTTTAAAAACATGAGCAAAGGATAAAAGCAGAAGAAAATGTTTACTTGCAACAAACGCTACTTTTTAAATACCAAAAATTTTACAACCTGATGATGAAAATTTTTGATCTTTCAAACTTTGACTATTTGCTCTGGCATCAGTCTTATTTTAAAAAATCAAAGATATAAGGATTAGAAAATTAGAGTTTATGGCGATAAGTCAGTTCTCTGGGGGAAAATTTTCTTACAAACAGTGTTTTTTCTCTTGCGTTTTGGCGGAGTAAAATAAAACAATTTCTTACCTGAACTGACTCAGCAATCTTTGCTTGTGCTTTGTTGAAATTAATACTGAAGACATGGTTTGGATCCCCGTCTCCAGGCCTAGCGATCCGCTCCTTGTATTCTGTATCCGTATACACCCCCCAGCATACCCTACTAAAATTATATCTATATATAAAGTAGTAATCTCTGTTTGTCTGTCTGATCATAAATCATACACCCTCAAACAGATTGGCCTCATTTTTGGGGGGAAACTCAAGACCACGGGAATGTTCTTAGCTTGGCTTTGAAATTCTAGGTTGAATGGATCGACCTTGAAAACTCCAGGCAGAGCTAAGTTCCCAAGCTAGTACTTTATATTCCTGGTCAATATAACACTTTTCTCCGTCCTCAATGTATGTTTCAATATATATCCTCAATTTGCACCCTAGATGTGCACTTGAATTTGCATCCTCAATGTGTGCTTCAATTTGAATCCTCAATGTGCGCTTCAATTTGCATCCTCGATGTGCGCTTCCATTTGCATCCTCAATGTGTGCTTCAATTTGCATCCTCAATGTGCGCTTCAATTTGCATCCTCGATATGCGCTTCAATTTGCATCCTCGATGTGCGCTTCCATTTGCATCCTCAATATGCGCTTCAATTTGAATCCTCAATGTGTGCTTCAATTTGAATCCTCAATGTGCGCTTCAATTTGCATCCTCAATATGCGCTTCAATTTGCATCCTCAATGTGCGCTTCAATTTGCATCCTCAATATGCGCTTCAATTTGCATCCTCGATGTGCGCTTCCATTTGCATCCTCAATGTGTGCTTCAATTTGAATCCTCAATGTGTGCTTCAATTTGAATCCTCAATGTGCGCTTCAATTTGCATCCTCAATGTGTGCTTCAATTTGCATCCTCAATATGCGCTTCAATTTGCATCCTCAATATGCGCTTCAATTTGCATCCTCAATATGCGCTTCAATTTGCATCCTCGATGTGCGCTTCCATTTGCATCCTCAATGTGCGCTTCAATTTGCATCCTCTAATTTGAATCCTCAATATGCGCTTCAATTTGCATCCTAAATGTGCGCTTCAATTTTCATCCTCAATGTGCGCTTCCATTTGCATCCTTAATGTGCGCTTCAATTTGCATCCTCAATGTGCGCTTTAATTTGAACCTTCAATATGCGCTTCCATTTGCATCCTTAATGTGCACTTATTAAAATAATTTGTTTTTTAATTTTCCAAATTTTGTTATAATTTCTTATTGAATATCTATATAATTTAATGGTCAAATCTGTTCTAGGATTGATAATGAAAAAAAGGATCGAAATATATTTTCTACTTTGAAGTTATTATTGAATGATCAAAATTTTAAAAATTTATGTTTTAAAAGTTTTTTATTTTGAAAAATTTTGAAAATGCGCAAAAAATATTATGAAATACGCAAACTTTTTTGTTTTTGTTTTATACTGTACAAAGAGAAGATGTTCAGAGATAAAGCCACAATTAAAAGTTGAAATAGAAGATGTGCGCGAAGCGCCCTAAAAGCCTAGAAAGAAGGGCGCGAAACGCCCTGAATTTCTAGTCTATATATAAATTTGGCTTGTCTGTTTGTTTGTTTGTCTGTCTGTTTGTATCCAATAAACGTCAAAACGGCTGAACCGATCGGGCCCAAATTTTTTGTGGGACATCACGTGGACACAGGAAAGGTTTATGAATGATAAAAAAATGAGTTCTAAAGGTTTTTAATTTTGTAAAAAAATTAAATTCTTGAAAATCCGCGAATTTTTTTTAAAAATCCGCAAAATTTTTTTCTTCTTTGTTTTTAAATGTAAACAAAAAGAACATGCTCACAATTTAAATGGAAGAAGGGCGGGAAGTGCCCTAATAGCCTAGAAAGAAGGGCGCGAAGCGCCTTCAATTTCTAGTTATATATAGAGAATTCTTTAAATCAATTCGAATTTTTACAGTCAATTTGCGTTCTCAATGTGCATCTCTGAGATTCCTTTATGTAGGTTCTACTCATTAAAAGTATAATAAAAGTATAATATATTATTAGGTCATCCGAATAATAAGCTTTTTTAACCAAAAAATGTTGATTAGTTTTACTAACTTTAAGGACACATACAGCTCTCTATTTCTGATAAAAAAAAAAGAAAATCCCTGTATAAACCTCAGCTGTGGTGTTCTAAGTTATTGGCGTTTGACCCCTCCTTGGAATTTTCTCCCAAAGTTCACTGTAAACATGAGATTTTTTGTCATCGAAACAAGATTTAAAATATATTGAAAACATTCACGTAACACTTTAAAAGTCTTTTCGCAAACAAAAACAAATTAGCTAATTTTAGATCATTACAAAATCTAATTTGAAGTGATATGATATGATATGAAATGATATGATATGATATGATATATATGATATATGATACATGGTGTACCAATAAACATGGGAATTAAATGACGACTTCTACATCGCCTTTGTTCCGAGCGGGATTATTTTGTAAACATGATTTTGTAATATCACATTTAGAACATTTAACACCGAAAACTTCTAGTCTGGGGATTTCCAAAATGTGGTCTACTATTTTTTCACCTTCAAAGTGGACGGAGATATTAGGAAATTTGCCTAGATTCCAGTTAATAAAATATCAACGAAACTGTTCAAATGTTTAATATCTCCGTCAATTTTAAAGATACATAGAATGATATATGATATGATATGATGTATGATATGATATGATATGATATATGATATGATATGATATGATATGATGTGAATGATATGATATGATATGATATGATATGATATGATATGATATGATATGATATGATATGATATGATATGATATGATAGGATATGATATGATATTTGATATGATATGATATGATATGAGATGAGATGAGATGATATGATATATGATATATGATATATGATATATGATATATGATATGATATGATATGATATGATATGATATGATATGATATGATGATATGATATGATATGATATGATATGATATGATATGATATGATATGATATGATATGATATGATATGATATGATTTGATATGATATGATATGAAATTATATATGATATGATATATAATATGATATGATATGAAATTATATATGATATGATATATAATATGATATGAAAGAATGGAAGTTGAGAAGTTGATTTTATAATGAGACAAATCCAAAAAGGGGGGTTAAGAAAAGTGTTTTCTTTTACATTAATTTCTATGTTAACTACAAACCCGATAATATATTAAAGTTGAGGATGAAAATCGGTACTATGCATAAATTCTCTAATCTTGAACAATTTAAATATTTTTTTGAAGCGTAGATATTGCGTATTATGCAAATTCATATTAGGCGTAATATTCAAAATACAATTCCCAGATTGCATTTTTAACCTAACTGGATCTTCTTACGTTTTACGCATTCATCAAAATTGCAGTTCAAGCATTGGCAAAATTAGGTCAACAAATTAGAGAATTAAGACCTTAGGAGAGTTGGGAATGGGATATCTTATGTCCATGGAGCTTTGGGAAAAAACAAATTTACATGATTCGTTCTCTATACCAGCCCCCCTGAAAATAATTCGGCCCAAAAAATATTAAAAAGCTTAAAACATTACTCACATATGTATGAAAAAGATTAATTATTATCTGGTTTCAGAATAAAAATAAGATTTAAATTAATGTTTTTTTTATTTGAATGGTAAATTCTGACTACTTTATGGTTTTTAAGAAAACCAAAAGTTACTTTGATCCACAAGGTCTCTAGTCTTGGAATCGGTATATATAACTCAATAGTCATTACAATAGGAAAATTAAACCTTGTATCAATGGTATAAGTAAAACTTTAAAAGATGTTTTCCGGGATATCTCCGAGAAAAACGCTTTAATCTGTTTTCCTCCATAACTTTTTAACAAGTTTTTACTTGAATTTGATTTTGTAATTTTAATGATAAAGCAATTGATAACAGGGATATATATTTCTGCTTTTAATGATAATAATAATAATAATGTTAATAATAATAATAATAATAATAATAATAATATGCTTAACTACAGAAAATCAAATCTTTGCAAAAAAGTGCAATTAGAGCAGTAAATAATAGTTCATTCAAAGCACATTCGTTCATTCAAAGCACATTCAGATCCAATATTCTTTAGATTAGAACTTCTAAATCTTGATGATGCATATAAAATAGGTGTTCTATCTTTTATGCATAAATACTTTTATGAAAACCTTTCAACTTCCTTCCATGATATATTTAAATCTTTAGCTGAACCAAATAGAACAAAATCATATAAACTTGAACGGGTTCTCTTTAAAACTCTAGAATGTTTTCCCTCTGCTTTATTTCCAAAATTATGGAATTCGATTGAATTAGAGCTGAAAGAAACTAAATCTGCAAAACTGTTTAAAAGAAAAATCTTAAAAACTATTTAGATAGTTATGCAAGTTATATCTGTAAACAAAATAACTGTTTTTCATGTGGATAAATTTAGTCTTTGCTATCTTCTTCACCCTGTAATTCATAAACATGATTCTGATAATATATGTTACCCTCTGTTACAACCCTTCCGCTGAGTACCCACCCTTTCCCTTATACTTTTTCACCCCCTCCTTACCTTATTCCTGATTTTCCATGATTGTTTTCTTTAAAATGAACAGTGTACAGTGTATATCCATCAATTTAATTACAATTCTTATTCGCTTATAATGGGCTAACCAACCAAAACAATCAACTCTGGTTAGGCGGGTCCAAACTACATAGTAAATTGTGATTTTTTACTTGTATTATCTCGTGTTTTGTAGTTGAATAAAAATATGAAATAACTAGCTGAAGAGTCCGGCGTTGCTCGTGGAAAATTTTTTTAAAAAAAAATCCTATTTTTTAGCCTATAACACCACCCTGCTGCCAATGAGTGTCCACAAAAATTTCAGCCCAATCGGTCTAGCCGTTTAGCCTGCTATATGCAACATATATACGAATGTCTTGTTTTATTATATAGATAATAATAATAATACTAATACTCCAGTTGTCCTAATTTCCATATGTAAACTCCAAAAATAATAATGATATTAATATCATAAATATTAATGCTAATAATATTGATATTACCTGTTATCAAGGAGAAGAGCTACAAGGAGATGTGTTGGTGTGCTGGGTGTTATTAAAACTGAGTTTTCTTTCAAAACCTAAAAAATTACTGTTAATATATATAATATACCGTATTTTGGAAGACGATGTCTGGCCGCATTAAACAAATCCCACAAGATTCAGCAGAACGGATACGGGGCATTGTACTGAAGAACATACACTCGTGTGATATCGATATTTACTCAAGTTCTGAACCCTCTAGTAATAAGTTATAAGAAATATATATACTGGAAGTACTTTATGCGTTTTCATTAGAGTTTGACTCACGTCCTCTATAGTATAACATTAAAATGTATTGTATTATAATGTAATGTTTATGGAAATATAATACATTAGTGCAGATTTTTCAAGAAACAAAAACGTGAATTAATTCAAAAATGTTTGTATTTGAAGAGTAAAAACAGAAAAAAAAAAGACGGAGGTTAAAGGATTGGAAAAAGTTGAAAATTGATAAGAAAGAAAAAAGAAAATAAGGGAAGAAGGAAAAAGATATTAATGGAAGAGGAAGAATGAAAAAAGAGAAATGAGAAACGGAAGATAAATGAAAAGAAAGTTTAAGAGAGTAAATATGGAAGGAATTGTGTAAAAACCCAACCTTGGATAAATCCAGATTATCCAAGAGCTGTTTAGAGTAGGTAGGTGGATAGCAGTGTACTCTTACCTACAATGAAATCAGATCTTAATATTTTAGTAAATAAAACTTTGACTTCCTCCCATAATCACTTAATCGTAATACCAGTGCCTAGTTGTAAAAAAAAGCTATATTTAATGAGTGTAACTTGTATTTTGATCCAAATATAGATTTAAATAATTATAATACTTGTTTAAGGGTGTGCTGTAAAAAATCTTAAAAAAGCATATAAGTGTCTCTAAAAGATTTTAGAAGTTTTTGCTGCAAATGAATATTTTAAGAATTGGAATTGAGTAACAGCTCTAAGATCGTCAAGGAATCGTGAATCTGAATAGTAGCAACACACCGGAGACAATACACTTCCAATAACCAATATTTCGTAAATGTGTTCTGGCAACATTCGAGAAACAGTGTGTTTGTAAGTTTTTTCTAGTTTTACTTTATCTAAAACCTTAAAAAAAACAATATATTTATTTTTCGCAAGTGTTTATTAATGCTTTTAAAAAGTAAACTATGTGGGGAAAGAAAGTACTGACCCTGGAGTTTAAAGGGAGGATATCTTGAATCTCCAGCAAGAATTGATCTTCTCCCTGGGTTAGATAATTTCCAGCAAATATTCTAGATTAATTATATTCATTCCTAGTTCAAATGAATGATATCATACATATATGTATACATATACAAACTCCATTTCTCCCACTTTTTATCTATAAACTCCAGTTCTCCCACTTTTTATCTGTTAACTAAGTTAACTCTCTAAGTATATTTAAAATAGACTACTAAATTCTCTTTTTGAAAATTATAGGACAATGTGTTATAAACCGAATTGCTATTCATGTAAAACTAATTAGATATGTTTTAATATGCTTTGATATTTGTTGTGTACATGTCTGAAAATTACTTTAAACTTTAGTTATTCGAATTTATGTATAAACTATTTTTAGCAATAAACGTTATCTTATCTTATCTTATCTAACTATAGTTCTCCCCCTTTTTATCTGTAAAATCTAGTTCCAGGGGCGTAGGAGAGCATTTGTGTAAGGGGGGAGGGGGCATTTTTGTTCCCCCTTTGACAACATTGTGCCCACCCCTGAAAAACCCCTTTTTTGAAAAAATATTGATACCTTTTTTAACTACAGAGCGTCCCATACCATATTAGATTGCCTCCAATCTTTAACACCAAAATAAACCCTTAGTACTCGAAAAACTTATCATTTTCCACAAGAAAATTCTTATATAAGCCTTATGGTATTTTCCAAAATGATTCATTCTAATGAAATTTTCTAATTATAGTCCCGAAAATCGTAATTTAGACACGTTCTCGGTCTAATATGATGTGGGACACCCTGTATGTAAACTATTCGATCATATACACTTTTCCAAATTACAAGGGTTAGTAAATTATTTATGTAATTTTCTTAAGTGAACTCATCAGACACTCCCTCACACACCCCCACATAGGTTACAGATAGAAAGTGGAAGAACTGGATTTTACAGATAGAAAATAAGAGAGAACTCCAGTTCTCCTATTTTCTATCTGTAAAATCTAGTTCTCCTACTTTCTATCTGTAAAATCTAGTTACTTACTATCTGTAAACCCCAGGTCTCCTACTTTCTATTTGTTAACTCCAGTTCTCCTACTTTCCATCTGTAAACTCCAGTTCTCCTACTTTCTATCTGTTAACTCCAGTTCTCCTACTTTCCATCTGTAAACTTTCTCCTACTTTCTCTCTGTTAACTCCAGTTCTCCTACTTTCTATCTGTAAACTCCAGTTCTCCTACTTTCCATCTGTAAACTCCAGTTCTCCTACTTTCTCTCTGTTAACTCCAGTTCTCCTACTTTCTATCTGTAAACTCCAGTTCTCTTATTTTCTATCTGAAATCTAGGATCTCCATCTTTCTATCTGCTAACTCCAGTTGTCCTAATTTCCATCTGTAAACTCCAGTTATCCTACTTTCTATCTGTTAACTCCAGTTCTCCTACTTTCCATCTGTAAACTCCAGTTCGCTTACTTTCTCTCTGTAAACTCCAGTTCTCCTACTTTCTCTCTGTAAACTCCAGTTCTCCTACTTTCTATCTGTAAACTCCAGTTCT